AATAACTGATGATCATAGTCTTTTGTTTCAATATCAGCAATTAAAAAAGCTTTACACAGAAATATTCGTCCAATGACTAGGGGAGTTCCGAGTACAGGTACAGTACATTATTGTAAAGAATTAAAAGTGGGTCCCATAGGGATGACTACCCATTAGGGTGAACTGGATATAGCACACTATACTAAGCCTTAGGTACACAAGGAGGCAGCATGACCAGTGCTGCACTTGAAAGCATTCACTTCCTCAAGTTGTAAACTAAGGTACCCATTACAGCTGAATGAACTGGGAGTGCCTGGGAATCGAACTACCGAGCCCTAGAACAGGTGATGAGAGCTGTATAGGTATCCCCCAAATTACTATCTCCCTATCTACGATATTCCACTTTAATGATGGTGATGTATTAAGACAACCCCCCTATTTAGGATATAAACAAATCGCACGAACAATGGTCATTGTTATAATGATAACGATTTACGATATTTCAACCTGCGAAGGGTTTTCAGTAACGTAACCCTATAGTAAATAGGGGGATTATTGTACTGTACTATTCTGAAAAAAAATGTTTTTTTGTTTTTAGGACATTATCACTAAGTTGGGAGTCCAGCATGTCAATACCTGTGTACTGTCAAATAACAGTCACCTTTTATTGCATTATAGTCTTAGAAGACATTAAGAATATTGGTATTGAAAGTTCTGAATGGGTTGTAACAAGAAAGAAAGGTAGACATTGGTATGTCCCATCATCCTGTTATTCAAGTTTAGCAGTGCCCAGTGAGTCCTTTCAGCTATCGTATAATTAATTATTTAGGCATACAATAGTACAGTACTGTAATTCAGTGATGGTTTTGACAATTTACTATGGCATTGAAGTGTCAGAGGTCATAGTCTACATGCTGTTTCTTCAGTACAAGATATTTTTCCTTGCATTACACAGTATACCATATATATTGTACAGTACCATATATAAAAAACAAACTGGTAAAAATCCCTAAAGAAATCAAACCATTAACATGGGTGCAAGAGTAAATGACACTTTCAATATATTTTTCACTTAAAATTTTGTTTTGATGTTTAAAATGTAAATCCTGTGGAGAAGTAAGGAAAGCAAATTTAGAACTTACACTGTATTATGTACACACAGGCAGTCCCCAATTTACTACGATCCCATTTTAAAAAATCTGAAGTAATGAAAATAAACATTTGTGCCTTGTTTTGATTTACACATGAAAAATCCAGAGTTAAATTTTTTTTGCAGCATTGGAAAATGCTGAGGTGCTGACACAGGCATTTGAGGGATTCCTGTACTTGACCTCAACAGTTTATAAAGACAAACTAAAAATAATATATAGTAGAGTACTATACAGTACTGTGCTGTGTCTGGAGCTGGCAGACTCCCACCCCACTGGGGTCACAGCTCAAGTCTGAAGAAGCCACAACTCCAGAAACGTGTGAGGGCAAATTTTTTTAAGTGAAAATTGTAAACTCTTGGAACAATCTGCCAGAGTGTTGTGATGGTACTAAGTGTGAGCTCTTTCAAAACCAGACTTGACCAACACTGGAGCAGGTACAAACACATTCTGGAGCCAGTACTGGCCAGTATGTGCCAACAGTCCATAAGAGAGATGTGACCAACCGCCCAAGTGGCTAATGAGCCGATCAGTGGCGAAGGGGATAAAAGTAAAAGTACAGTATTGTTATTATGGCTTACATGATTGCTATGAGAAGCAGAAAATATTTTCACTGTACGAATGCTGATGTTTTTAGTATCCCAGAGTTTGATATGATGTCAATGGAAAGAATAAAATGTTAAATGAATAAACTGTATAACTTTAGCATTTCTTTTTCCAATAAAACTAACATCAATAATCAAACCCAGGGAAAACAAAACATCTCAAAATGTCTAAAGTACTGTAGTATATGTAAAGTGTGGTAGACTTACTGCATCCCAACCAGGATGCCGTTTCTCAGCAACTAACCTAAAATTATCTTTCAGTTCCTTAATTTGAAATTGAAATTCAGTTCCTTAATTTAATTGAAATTGTTCAAAAAAAAAGGAAAGCTAACCTAACCTCACCTAACAAAACCTAACCTGAAATATTTTAATGTTGTTAACTGTATTTCTCTTGCCTGTAGACCTACACAGGGATTATTGTATTGGTCACAGGTTACAGTTTTTTCAAATAAGGCTATGCTTTACAAAAATGTCAATTGCATCGTTGTTAAATCTGCACATTGTATCTAATGTCTGAAATGGAATACAGTACTGTATTCAGAGTTGTCACACACATTCGTATTCAGGAATGGTTGGAAGCAACTGAAGAACTCGGCACCGAAGATAAATACAGTACTGTACGGTATTACAGTATCACTACTTGCCGCTGATTGCCGTAAATAATTATATAGATACTGGTACATTTTGTAACTTATCATTTGTAAAATGAAGAAAGTTAACCAACCAAACCTAAAATACTATATAAGTACTATACTGTAGTTAATTTTCTCTCTTTCTTCTAAAATAAAAATACCTTTTTGTTCTTAGTTATTGTTATACAGTACTCATTTTATAAATTTTCATTCATAAAATGAATGATAATAATAAATTCTATAACTTTTCATTAATAAAATTAGTAATCATAATAATTATAATTATAATAATAATAATAATAAAAAATATCAGTAAAATTATCATAAAGGTTTACAATTAGCTAAGCATGTACAAGGGTTCCCCGACTTACGAATGCCCGCCAATACGAACGAGACTAAACTTGAAATTTACAGTATTTTATTTACCTGATGACTTATTTTTTACTTTCATTTACTGTATTTTGTCATTCTATTTCTTCTTTTGTCTTAAATTAAGTGATTTTAGATGTACATGAGGACTTAAGCCATGATATAGTGGGAATTTAAACATTGTTCTGTAAGTAAGATATGCACATAGCACGTGTTCCGATTTACGTATAAATCCGACCTTAGAATGTCCTCAGGAACGTAACCCGTTGACCCCTTGTATATAAACTATGCAGTTACGTATACAGTTTAGCATGAATATTGTATGGTTCTACATGAATTTAAACAATGTAGTTACTGTACTGTACGGTATATGGTGCACATAGGCCATGGGAGTACTGTACAGTTCGCAGTTTCCTAGATGCCTAGACAGTGCAGGACCGCAGGTATATAATGATGGTAAACAGAAGAGCAATTCGACCAAGGATAGCTGACAAAGTTGTCAGGTGCTGTTTCCAGTGAAGCTACCAAAACCTAACCTGAAATACTATGGTAACAGTATTTTCTATTTCATTCTTCTAAGGTAAAATTAAATTCCTTTCTGTAAAAAGAAACATTCCAACAGTCTAAACATGTTACACACAGCAAGGCCATGTTAGCCATCTTCCTCCACCGTTCTTGGACATAAAACGTATTTCTTGTGCACCTTTTGTCATTTTTTGGAGGTAAGAAAGCTTTTAACCACTCTTGTCAAGTACAGTACCAAAAATAAATTTTTTAACCTCCTCGACCCTCCCTGGCTGATCACGTGTGAAAACAAAGATGGCTTAATGGAACCAAGAAAATTAACCGCTTTTTAAAAAGGAATCTGCTTCAATAATAGTCACTGTAATATCCATTGGCACAAACTTTCATGCAATAAGTTCATTAATGGTATTTTCCCAGGAGAATTTATACAAGGTTAATTACCAGTATTTTAAATCACCAAAATGGGCTTTAATCATGTAAATATTACTCCTTATCTGGTTGGGAATACAGTACAAACGTTCAATACCTTAATTTATATTATATTAGCCACAAAATAACCTACACTAACAAAAATTAGGGTACAGAAGATTGGGTACAGATTCATTTTAATATAAGCTTCGTTTTTTACAGGGAAATAAATTTTTCTGGTGTACAGTATTTTGGTGTGCTGTGTTTAAATCTAACCACCATTTTCTTTGAAAAATTCCCCATTTAAGAGAAAATGTCATTAACATTTTACCGAGAAATGGGGAATTTCCAAAGAAAACGATGGTTAGATTTAAACAAAACACACAAAAATATACCAGAAAAATATATTTTCATATCTGCAATGAAACCTAACCTAACCGCCACAAGCCATGGCCTCCAACCTTGAACTACATTTCAAATCGTCGTGGGCACTGTAGCCCTGTAGGTGGCATAAGTGGAGTGCTATTGGTGGAATTGAAACCATGGTGCATCGAATTCAACTTTCGACATTACCTCCAAAATAATGACTATCCAAGACGGTAATTATTCCGATAGCGACTGTCCGCTGTTTTTCATTGATAATGGGTGTAAAAATACCCAGTTTTCACTGATTTTATTAGAAGATACTATTATTATTATGTTGGGAAAAAATATTAATATTACTGAAATCATGTGCTAACCTATCCAAACTTAACCTATATTTTAATGCCTATATCTAGAAAACTAACCATTTACTCAAGAAAATGAATAGAACTGTAAGTAATCAGGATACAAAACTGTGTTTAAAAATACTCCCCATAATTACCAAACCGCTGTTAATAGATAACCTAAGTACGTAACCTATATTTAAAGTCCAAATAGCAAAATATTAACTCTTTCTATAGAACCCGGTGGGGACGTTAAAACTAATCTTAACCAAAGATTATGTTCCAACGACAGATACACACTGGTGGTACACTAAAAAAAAAAAATTCACAAAATGCTGTATGATCCTTAAGTGTTGAGATAGGGCTGTCATATCGAATTATTAAAAGGGTATATAAATGGCACTGAATTTTGATTTAAGCAGGAAAGAATCACTTACCTTATTTGCTTTTTTTTCAATAAATTTCAAGTAACTTTTTCTTTTCTCTCACACCAGATTTCCCCTCCATACATTAAAAAAATAATAATAAAATTTCCAAAGCAAATAACCCATTATATACATGAAGCACCCCATAAACTATATACCATTACCTTAGTTTCATAAACGGAGCAAAAGTTTAGTTACTCACCATCAACTAGAGTGCAGAAGTTTATATCCCAGCTCAGCACCACCAGCCTCTCCCTCCACCTCTCGTGCTGTCCACACAGGACCTGAAGCTTCAAGCGGAAGTGTTGGTAAATGTGACAGCAGCACCACGACCTTCAACAGCACCAACAACGAGCACAGCACACCACAATGTACACCTCCCTTTCCCTGCTGCCACACAAACCTCTTTTGACACTTGTACGTTTTCTCCACAAACGCCATGGGATAACACCTACATCTTCTATATATTCGGGCTATTAAATGTGAATCACGTATGTCTCTTAGTAAATAAAATATCCAAGAACCTGAAAATCATGGCAACTTTCAGGAAGAGCATGATGAGGAGGAGGGAGGGTGGTTAACCTTGGACAGCAGCCGTTCACCTACACACTGACTCACCCAAACAATAACAGAGACACGTTGCCACCTCCACCTAACACAAGTCTATCTTTTTTATGCATAAAAAAAGTCCGGAGGTGTGGTAGTGTAACGGCCTCATAAATACAAACTAAATGAGTGTTGCTTTCTGTTCGTTGCAACAGATATTATACAAATGCTTCAGTCGACTTATACTACTTATATGAGGATAAGGGTAATTTGATGAGAGCTATCATCCCAAAACTGACTTATCATTTATATATTAATGAAGACCTTTATAATCATATTAATAACATAAACACCTTCTCTTTCAATAAACTATCTCCAGAGTCCCCGAAAAATTCAATACCTTTGAGAAACAGCTGTACAGCTGGTGATTTCAAGGCAACGTAAAGTTCAAACAATTTCCACGTTCAGCACACGAAATAACCGCTACCATAATGTAATAATGTATTGCTATGCTACCACAGCTTAGGTCTTTTGGCGTGTATAATAAAATTTTATTACCTAAGTCATCAACAAAATATATGTGTATCTACCAACTCTAAAAAAAAAATCGTTAGTCAATTTTGGCATTTGCAAAACAGATTTTTTTTCCCTTACAGTGTCAATAGACTGTAAATAAACACTGTAAGTGTAAGACAGTGGATACTTGAAATTCTATTTCGAATCGATGGGTGAAGTAAAGTGTGAAGAGATCTTGAAGCTGGTACGTAGATTGGTGGTACGGGAATTGGACTTGAAGAATGATGATGGAATTTGGAGGGACTCATTCGCAGGCCCAAATAGTCACTTATGCTCCAATGTTGTATTATGCAGTACATTCTCCCACAAAGACCATAACTTGCTTTAGGAATCGTGATGTTGATATATGACTCAGATACATGAATAATCAAATAACACCTATAAGTTTCTCCAAAGTCAGAAACAGTTAAGTTAGGAAGAGAAACCTGTTCTGAATTGTCACTAGACTTCAACTCCGGATCTACCTATTTATCGGTGGTTGTACGGGCAATTTCCATCTACCCCAAAATCTTGTCCTCCATTCCCCTTCCTCCATGCAAGTGACCTGTCAGTCAAGACCTATTGAATATGACCTGCTAACCATTGAGTACCGTGTACAGCGGGTGAACACCCCACCGAAACTTTCACTTCCGGATCTGACGCTTTCAGTCAGCCACTGATGGTCTCCGCTCCTTGATCTGCTACAGTACTACCATAGTTAACACCAATTACAATTTTCTAAAAGCCATTTGAACAAGAAATAATCCAGATATCAAATTTTGGTCAACAGCTCCTTAATCAGCATGTTCAGGAGTACCTGTACTGAGATTTTGAACAAAATCTATTTTTTGGCCGAAAATGACAAAAATTGTAAGTCTTATGCCTTACAGGATTTTTGGCCAAAAAATAGATTTTGTTCAAAATCTCAGTACAGGTACTCCTGAACATGCTGATTAAGGAGCTGTTGACCAAAATTTGATATCTGGATTATTTCTTGTTCAAATGGCTTTTAGAAAATTTTAATTACCGTATATACTCGTCTATAACCCCCCCTCGTTTATTGGTCGACCCTGATTTTTTTACCAAGAAATCATTAATTTATGATATTCCTCGTTTATAGTTCGACCCACGTTTTTGAGGGTAATGGAACAACAAAACCTTCAGTAAAAACGCTCTACGTCCAATAAATTGAGGCTCGCCGTGCCTGAAACACGAGTGCCGAAGGCAAATTGTTTACCATTTATTATTACGACACTTTACACTGAAACACGGGTAGTTTCAACAAAAATATTGTATATTTCCATTCAAGTATTTATTCAAGTCAATTAGGAGGGAATATTATTGTAATACAGTACAATAGTTTTTTAACTAAACCATTCGAAAAGCGATTACGGTAACATCTTTTGAACGAAAGAAAGCGAAAGTCATTGTTTTCGTCACGATTTTATCCCACTTTCCACTGTAATACGTACGTCATTTCAGCAAAAATATTACATTTCCGTGAATGCATTATATGAAGCACAGTATGAATAGAATACTATTGTAATATAACAATATTTTAACCAAAAACTATTAAAAAAACAAGTAACCTCTTGAACATCGGAAGGTTAGGTAAAATCTTTTGTTTTCGTCATGTATTTTATCCTATTTTACATTAAAATACATCACGTTTCAGCAAAACTACTATTTATTTCCAAGAATATATTCGTTCAGGCACAGTTAAGGTAAAATATACATGTGATGTAACAGTTTAACTGAAAACGATTCGAAAAAACACGTGTACCGTCTAGCTGACGCAACAGCTGGAGGTGCGTCATGCGTCGTTGTAAACAATAGGAGGTTGAAGTAGATTACCGGGTATTATATTAAGTGTGAAATATCGAAAAGGTTTTTATTACCAGTATTTTTTGTAGATCAATGAGAACTGTGATACCGTATATATGATATGATAAGTTAGCCTGTGCTAAGAACTTCAACATAGACTACTGAAAGCACATTGTAAGGTAATTTAGCCTATTGTAAGTTGGTGAGCATTTGCTGAAGGAACTGCACAACTTTTCATTACTAATTGGTACATATTTTACATTTCCATTGTTTACTGGCAGTAAATAGTAAATATTTTTCATGTCTGAAGCTAAAAGTTGCTCCTCGCCCTTCCCATCATGCACGGGTTCAACCTAACAAAACTACTACGCATGTATAGGACGACCCCCAATTTTTTGCCTAAAAATTTGGTCTTAAAAACTCGAACTATACAAGAGTATATACGGTACTTTTGCAAGTCATTTGAATAAGTAATAATGCAGATATCAAATTTTGGTTAACAGCTCCTTAATCAGCATGTTCAGGAGTACCTATACTGAAATTTTGAACAAAATCTATTTTTTTGCCAAAAATTCTGTAAGGCATAAGACTTACAATTTTTGTACAGTTTCTTCCTCTCTTTCTACCTCTGAACAACAATTACAGGTTCAAGTAAATGCATACACATTAAGAAGCGAGCACCTCTATAAACAATGGTTCTGCTAGGTTTTCTAATGGTGGTGAGCCATAAGATGCCCTCAAGAATGGAGGACTTGTGTACCTGCAAATAATAAACTTCTTTTGAGAAGTAATCAAGGAAAAAGCAACAATTCATATCAATATAATTTTTATTTTAGTAAAAACTGTCAGCAGCTTTATGGGAAAATTCTTAATAAAGATTTTCAATCAAGGTTGTATAAATAGCCCTGGTCCTTGGATACTTGCACGAGTTATTAACAATAATGGGAGGATGGGATCAAGTGGATATTGAACAAATAAATGTAAACTTTGGGTATACCCTTATTACCACTGGTCTTTTAATAAAAATTTGACAAATTTAAAATTTTCCATGAATTTTGCATTAAGAAAGATTAAACCTGTGCTGTTATATATGACTTTGATGAAGCTACATTTTCCTGCTTCTCCTTAATCTGATAATTACTCTTTCATATGAATGAATTTATATTTACATACATAAGAGTTAATCTAAACCTGTAAGGAGTAGCACCTCCCAAAACCATGTATATTTTTTGCTTTAAACCTTTTTTTGCACAATTGTAATAAATTTGCAAAAGTTATTATTGGCAAAGCCATTACCACTTGCTTTTTATTGATTTTTTTCTTTTAAGAATGAAATGAGTGACAAAGAAATGATGTGATGGATTTACAAATAATGATGAACATTTCCAATTTATGAGGGTTAATAATATTTCCTAGTCGGATAAACCTTCATCCACATCAGGCACAAAGTCTTCATCATCCTCTTCGTCCAGGTCGAGGTCATCCAGGTCTTGGAATAAACTTTCGTCTACAGTAACTTCTCCCTCTCCTGTAAAAACAAATCAAGTTACTTTTTCTAAAATCCCACACCCTAACTAACAGCACTTAAAAAATCTTTCTTTCAGTGCAAAAATTCAAAATTACAATAACCTTGAAAATGTTATATCACTTATTGTTTGGTCAAAATAAAGCTTGTCTCCACTATACTGATCATTGGACATGACCTGAAAAACTGGAAATCTTATCTTTCTCTACTTTTAAAAAGTGTATGTCTAATATAAGTCTTATTACTGTACCAGTACTTAATAATGGTTTGATCAACTGAAGAATCTCCACCCCAGCATCCTAACCTCATTCCCCCAAATAGTGTTCTAGTGTTAATCTTTAGGTGAAATAAGCTGGTGACGATTCTTCTGGTTATCTGAATGGTCATTAACTCTATGATTAGCAGATATACCATATACTGTACATACAGGTATCCCTTGCTATATGAAAGTTCAAGCTACAAAAATTGGCTCATACGAATTTTCTGTTCTCACACCTCTTTCATATTACTGTACAGTAGACCCTTGTCATTTGCAGGTTTCTGATTCATTATTTTGATGATTCATGGTAAGCAAATGGTGGTTATGGTGGCTAGCTTGCGAGCCTTTTTCCACAGCATCTTGTGTTGCACTCTCAAAACTTTAGTGTTTCCGTGTGAAAATGGCCCCTAATAGACTGCCTAGTGTCAGTGCTAATAATGCTAGTGAAGTGAAATATTTAAGGCAGAAATCAAGTGATGACCCTGACAAAGAAAGTTGGATTATTAGACAAGTTAAAGGAGGAGATGAGTGCTGCCACGGCTGGTCAGTTGTTTGGTATAGGTATACAGTAGTGCACTAAGGTAGTATAAGTTGCTATTCAGGGTTTTACCTATTTGCGCCATTCCTTGGAACCTAACCCCTGCAAATAAGGGCTAACCATATATGAAAACTATTCTTGCTAATAGGAATATGGTCCTTTAAGGTGATGTACCAAATCAATATTTCAATTAGTATTTTTAATGTGTTAAGCTCTAAATTACAGTAATCCGTTACTAATTTACAGTACAGTAGTTAGGTACCAATTTACAGTATACTTAGGGCGAGTTTTTTTTTTTTTTTATGATCCTACAGTACAGTATTTCCTTTCTTAGGTTTGATAATAGGGATTTCTTGTACTTAGTTACAGTAAAACTCCCATAATTCGTACTCTTCTAATTCGAAATCACTCATAATTAGAAATGTTTTGTCATTACAAAATATATATTACAAATTTCGTAATATTTGGTCAAATTTCAAAATACGAGACATTTACAAATATATATGATGCACCGATTGCCATGGGATGTGACCGCCAACCACCCACCACAATAAAAACAAAGTACAGCCACTATACGCGCCGTACTTTGTGTGTCGGTCAGTACTCAGTTCAAGACTGTCGTTGTGGAGTGCACATCTATGGTCTACCACGCAAGCTTTTTCCCACTTGTTTTATCATTGCCCAGAGTTTGAGCCATTATATCTGATAACCATGAACGAAGCACCTAATATAATTCAGAAATACTGCACTGTACTAAGAAATTTTTAAATTTTGCTAGGGGCAGATAACGGAGAAGTGCTTTTTTTTCCTCTGGAGACTGTGTCCCTCATATCTTGTAAAATCTCATAATTCTTAAGGGCTAGTGCCCCTATTACAGTACAGTAGTTAGTTACAAAATTACAGTACTGTAGTTAGGTAGATTTTTTTGTTGTTGTTTGTGAACGTATTTAAATTTTTGTAAGTATGATAGTGGGATTTTCTTTTCAATGGGAATCGAACCCAATTTTTTCCCCCAAATGTTTTGTTATTCAAGATATGAAAATTCACTTAACAAATGGATTTCAAGGACATTATCCCATTCATATAAGCGAGAGACACCTGTATATGGAACAGAATAAGTACGACAAGAAGGTTAGACTGTACTTGAAATTCAAACCAGCTGCAATGAATGGGTTAATAGTCAGGATAGTTAAAAGTAAATTATACACAAAATAACAAAACCAATATATAAAATACAGGTTCAGATATCGTATATACATCTCAAGGGGCAACACAATACTTATGACATATAGATAAAAAACTGCATATTGAGATGAATTTACCATCACCCAAGAAGCTTAAATCAGACTCGTTGAGGGTCTGATCTGTCTGGAACAATTCACGGCCCGTTAATTTCTTGTTCTTTTCTTCCTCCTTTTCTTTTTCTGTTCGCAGTGCAGCCAATTCCACATCGAATTTTGCCTTCCAAACCAGAAAGGTTTCCACCGTCACTCTAGTGCCCTCAAACTTTTTCTGTTGGGATTAGGGAATTATCAATGCAAAATTCTTATAAATAAATCTACATTGTGTGGGTAAGACATTAATGACAGGATAAACAATGATGGTTATGAAAGAACAATAAGAAGCACAGTCACATGAGATATATAAGAAGAAAAATATTATTAAAACACAAAAATGTCCTTATGAATTTAAATGAAAACTAAGAAAATAAGCAAAATCCGAAAGAATAAATTTAAATTGTGTAGAATTAACAAGATCAACTGGGGATACGCTAGAGGAAATTAAGTAAAATCATCATGATAAATGTATAAGGCAATAACTAAATGAAACCATGCAACATTGAAATTTGAATATATAAGAAAAAAGAAGACTAATAAACCCAATAAGATTATATAGGGTATGAAGTAAATGTTGACAGCCTTTGTGTTACAAGAGCCATCTAGTGGAGAGAATAAGTCAGAAAAATCAAGATGACCTAAGATTTAAAGGCCATTATTGCTTAAGGTCTTTTAACATCAAATTCCATTTCTGATGACCTCTCTGGAAGAATCTCCATCATGAAAACTGTTCACTGCACTGTCCTCCTCAACCAGTCAGAGAAGCAGTAGGGTTTCCTATCTGAAATTGAACTATTATAAACAGCCAAACTTCTAGTAAGAAGAAAGGTTACTAATTTATCCACTTGTTTCATGTTACATAAAGAATTAGAGAATGGCACCGAGTAGACTGGCTTATCTATAAAAAATCTTGTTGGGCCTCAATAACAATTTCATAGGACTTGAAAAGATTAAGTCCAATCATGTGCTCAAGTTGCATTAGTAAGTCATTTAAAGACCCTAATATCTGTTTAAACTTATCATAACTGGAAAATCTTTGTCCAACACATGATCAATTTGACAAAGCAGCTTTCATGAATAGAAATAGGAAGATAAAGCCATCAGAAGAGGAAAGGATAGTGAATTGCTGTGTCAGTTATTTATTAAAGGTGAACATGGAAGCTCCTACTCTGGGAAGAAGAGGTGGATTGGTCAGACTTCCTACAGCTTATACAGGCTGGGATGATAAATGTGTTTATCATAGGGCCAATACATTTATTTAAAAATTTTCATGCAATTTATTGAACTTTTTGTCAGTGTATTTTCTATATGAATAATTCTCAGGAATAATAATTATCTTTGCAGGGTCTGTTAGAAACAAACTTGTCAAAGTAAATATGACCCCCTAGCAGATGTCTTGTGTTATGAAAGCTGCCAAGTACAAAAGTCGTAAGCAGAAAATATCACGCACGCTTCCCAAATAACTATCAACTATCTGTATGAACTGATCATATTTTTCATTAAGTTAAATTGTGCTTATCCTCCAGCTCGGACTTACTCGTTCTGCTTCCTCCAATTCCTTCTTTTCGCGTTCAAATTCATCTTTAGCTGTGCGGGCCAGCGTCTCCATGTGTGTAGTGAGCCACTCCACTGTGTATGAGACTAATGTGAAGACCATCACCATGCCTACGTTCTCCTCGCACTGAAATCAACTCTGGATTAACAAAAGGGGATCTGTATTAAAACATCTACAATAGCAAGCAAGTAGACTTAATTTGGGGGGTTATCTCAACCTCATCATTTTACAGTCATTTTCTAACTTGTGTGGGTTATCTGTACCAATAGTATTTACAAGTAATATTACACCGAACTCCTGGTGATTGTAAAATTGAGTGTTTCAGAAGAATTTAAAAAGCATATTATAATTGAACCTAAGAAAGCTGGGAGTCTCGGAAAACTATTCTTCTAAACACAGACCTCCACATAGCAGCTATCAGGTATATCTTTCATTTTCTTCACTTAATTTGACTTTAAGTAGATGTGTGCATTCTTACTTAAACCCTTTTCTATTACTGTAATCCTAAATGCATCATTTCTCTTCAGTATAGGGATCACCTGAAGAATCTCCACCCCAGCTTATTTCATCTTAGGTTAGGTTAGGTTGGGTTGGGTTGGTTAATCTTTAGGTGAAATAAGTTAGGGTGAAGATTTTGGGCAATCCCAAAATAGCATTGTCTGTTGCTCCAAAAGGAATCCAACACTTACCTGCGCTTCTAACTGTTCCCGCAAATCTGATAACTCTTCCTCTTCTATATTTTCTACAGGAATCACCTCCATAATGGGTGGCTCATCAGGATATGTAGGAGTATATTCAAAACTGAGAACAATCTCTGCCGGTTCTACTTTAAGTTCGTCATATGGATCAGAGCCCTCTGATTTGACACTGATTTTGAACTTGTGTCGTGGTTCTACATCTAAAACTGAAAGAGATTAAACCTGTTACAAAATGAAGGCACTACAGTACTTGTAAGAATTAATCACTAAACCAGTAAAAAGAAACATTAAAATGCACTCAACTTTCAATTTATATACTGTACATTATTTTCTTTGCTTGCACAGTTTCAGATATACAGTTCACAGTCAAGTACTGGGTAATTTGTGACTCTTTATAGTTTGCAGGGGCGGATCTAGGGGGGACCCTGGGGATCCGGACCCCCATTTCATCAGAAAATTCCAATAATTTTTCTTGAATACAATATTGTACTCAGGCACTTTTATAGAGTAAAATGTAATAACTATTGACCTCAGAATATCTCCTAATATCAATTGCACATGGTTTCAATATGGTCGTCTCAAAATGCCCATAATATTGGTCAGATTTCAACTGGGGGTTTACAGTGCACCCCCAAAACCCCCCAGCTAGATGGGCTCACTTTCCTCACCATGTTTCCCCACCCAAAACTTCTTGGACCCCCCCCCCACCCTTTAATATTCCTGGACCTGCCCCTGGTTTGTACACGGCCTGGATTCACTTATACTTAGCCCATCATGGTCATAACATGAGCCTGAGGAGCACACCACACATGACCTACGCACATATCACGAGAATCCCAAGAAACTGTGTTAAAATAAATAACTTACACCATCTTCATTTCATTACCAATAAATAATTTTTTCTCTTCTTTACGGGCATTAGCCCACCCGGGCACAGGTCACTGACCCACATTGGGGCCTGGGAGGCAAAAATTTAATAATAATAATAATAATAATAATAATAATAATAATAATAATATTAATAATTCATAATCAATAAAATTTATAATAAAAATACAAAATTAACAATAAAATATTAAAATAATAATAATAATAATAATAATAACAACAACAACATTGTAAAAATAATAAATAACCATAAAGAAAAAAGAAAAGAAAAATCAATAGTGAGAAACAATATATGTATGTTGTGTTGTCAAAGTAAGAGAAACAATCGAGACCCTGCAATTGTGTGTAAATGAGACAAAAAGTCAGTTGAGGAACCTGGGACTTGGTCACAATTTTCATGATGCCATATGGCAGCAGGGTCTACCATTGGACAACACATTATGCTTCCAATATCTTCCCAGACGGTAGTACCTCCCTGTTTGGTAGCTGCCTACTACCTACTAAAAGCCGGTATGTCGTCTAGTACACGGGTGTAGAATAGTGTTCGGGACAGAAAAACTCGTAACACATAATACAAGTACAGTACGTATAGTATTACGAAAAATGATTTCTTCCCATTTATTGGGTGTTTTTCATGAGGAAACAAAGCACATACAGTTTCTATGCTTGGGGCACACACAATGCCAATGCTCACTGTTTACATCTGGCATGTGTTGGTCAGCAAGTCTGGGAATATTCGTTAATAGAATGAATCAATCTAACCTATTAGACCTAACATAAAGTAATAGTTATCATTTCCTATTATCTAAAAAAAATAAAAAATAAAATAATTCCTGTCCATGAATGGAACCATTCACACAACTTAAACATAAGAGCCACTGCTACATCTAAATCTTGCTCTGATTGGTTGAAACAAAAGCCCATCCCCCATTTAGACTTTCTTTGCATTGTTGAACAAGAAACCAATACACGAACAAAAAATAAAGTAAAACAATAAATATCTCAGTTCTATGTTGTTTGAGAGCATAACTTCATGGAAGAAAAATGTCTTAGAAGTGTCTAAACTATTGATTGCAAAGATAAAATTCTCAAGATTTGGTTGGTGGCAACATATTGCAATAATATTGTGCCGGTATTATTAAAAATTTGGAATGTTCCAAATTTTTTAAACTTGCATTAAAGATAGTTTTTCGTGCTGATTTTAAATGTGAAACACATGTTTAGTGGAAATGTTTTATTTGTGACTTACAGGTCTATGAATCAGAAGTGCTGGCAAATCATGCTTAACATAAGCTCGTTCAAATTTTGCCCTTTGTAACGCTGGCGCCACATATACTCGCACAGGTACCCATCCAATATTTGGCGATGTGTACTGGCTTGTTTGTTTTGTTAGGTTAGGTTTGGTTAGGATTAGGTTGTGGAAAAAACAGACATTGTTCCTGCAAACAAATGCCAATAAAATGTTAAATATTTATTTCTCCAAAAAATGAGTTGCATACTTAGAATCAGCCTAAAAAAACTGTACTAGTGACAAATTTTTCAACACAATTTAACACCGTCCAAAATTTTAATAAGATCTATGGTGAAATGTCCTAAATTAGTAGTTTAGGAGCCCAGGTCTTTAAAAATACCAACTTGTGTTATACTGGAAATCATAAGTCTAAGAAAGCCCAGAAATTGAACAAAATATGATACACACACACACTCATTACAGATGGCAGGGTAATACTTGGAGGCAGATACAAATCTTTCCAATAAACTAATCCACACCTGCACCTTCTAAAATGAATAAATCCGTCATGCAGATTGTATTGATTCTACTTAAACTATATGCTGTTGGGTAGAATGTGAAAATTATGAGGCAATGTTGTCATATCACCTCTGAAATGACATGGACACCAAATGGCATACAAGTCTTTAAGCTATGTCTAATACTTACTTTCAAATTCATCTGGATATATAGACTCCAGCGCTTCTATTTCGTTATTCTGCTCTTCTTTATAGTCAGTCATTTTATGTATATTATATGAATCCAGAAGTTAGAGGATAGTGAAGCAGCGTGTGAGCCAGGCCAGTGTTTTGGTTGTTGCAGACCCCGTGTCCGAGTTGCCTCTCCACTAATATTAATCTCTGTTTTAATAATAATAGACCAATAACATATATTTAACCTCAAAATTCATATAATAATTTGTATTTTTTAGGTTGTTTTAGATATGAATATAGACACAGATACTTATGTAGATTTTTTTCATTATTGGTACTGTCATCCAGGTAAAACTATTTCAGACAGTTACTTCAGTTCATCGGTGTACCAATACTTACCCTTGTATGAAGTGTTATTTTACATACACCATACACACTTACCAGTACGCTCTTGGAAATAACTCTTCTCGCATGTCCAAGTAAATTAGAAGTTAGTGAGAGTTCTACAATTGATTATACTTTACAATCTATAGATGCAAATTAAGCCTCTAAGCTAGTGTGATTTAGGTTCATTAGGTTAGGCAATAGGCATTGGCCTTCCCTTTAATTGGCTGTCCGCTCGGGCACCAGCACCTTCCCAAGTAGTTAATAACAACTGAGTCTGACCACTACCCCAAGTTCTCCAACCCAAGGGATAAGAAGAGAATGTCATCCCGGGTGCAAGTGGGCGGAGCTTTGCTGACTTCACCAGGAAGACTCCTGCATCTGTATGTTTTATCTTTTGATGAAACAAATGTTGCACGCTAATGTACCTATGATAAAGCAACTGATATTCTCTATGCACTTAAAAAGCGAGTTCAGTGTGCAATGATACGAGGAGTCATTGGGTTATGGAAGCAACTTATACATTGCAATTTTGATACTGATATGACCAAAGATATCTTGTATAACTTAATTGTAAAGATAGAGGCAGCTGGATATCCAGTAGTTGCTGTAGTTAATGATCTCAGCCCCACTACTGTAATGTGAGATTGAAGAATACCCTGCAGGGTGTGGGTTTGGTTAAGTCCTCTTTTAAAAATCTAGCTGCTTCAGACTGGGAAATATGAACATGTATTTTTTTCCACGTGCCCTGATAAATTTATGGATGAAATTTTCTTGCCCGGATTTTATATGGGAAAAGTTAAATAAACACCTTAAAACAGTCAACTTTATTGTATGTGTCAACTCACAGACCACTTGTCTAAATGGTGTCAGTGAAGGTAACCCGTGTCATGTGAGGTCATAACCCCTGTCACCTCATGTCCACATTATTAACATAATGAGCACAAGGGGGAAAAGCTCTCTTGTAGGCAACTGTATATAGTTATAATTACCCTTTCTTAAGTTACACTTATTTAAATACATAGTAAAGCTGAAATTAATTCTTTTTATTTGACCTTTCCTTCTTTGATATATATATATATATATATATATATATATATATATATATATATATATATATATATATATATATATATATATATATTTATATATATATATTGGCGTCTTTAGCTAAAGCTTACACACTCTACTGGTATTATTTTCTATGTGAGGGACTGAGATAATAAAGTGCAGTATGTGGAACCATTAATGTTCTGTTTATAAGGAGTGAGAGGGAGCACGGGAGTCTTCCTGATGACGTTAGTACTGATGTTGTCTTTTCTTTTGCAGAGGTCAAACCACTGCATCTTAGTTCTTCATCTTTAGAAAATGTATGGAAGTGTATGTGTCCCTCTCGCTTGAATAAAAATTACATCCAAACACTGCATAATTGGTTGGCAATAAGTAACAGAGGACACCAGTTTCCACAGTAGTGGCTGCACCTCATCATTTAAGAGTCGATCCACGTACCAGGATTAAGCTTCAGCTGTATAGTAGTTCAGATATTAGGTTTCTTCCGGGTACTACGGTTTCCTCCTATACTAAAACTAGGCAGTAGAGGTATAGTAAGCTGATAAGTGATGATAAGATAAATTAGTAATCTCCATTAGTTAATATTAATCCTCGGTCTATGGGATTTACACTGAAATACAAGTTTGGGTGTTATATAAAACCTTTAATCTGGAAGTTACATATAAATTTGGCTGCTTTACACACGCATTTTGATTTTACGGTTATATACGAATTTTGTTCTTTGTGCAACATGACATTTTTTTTATCTTATTTGCAAAAATTTCTTTTGATATTACATTTGATTTTAGTCACATTATTACGATTTCTGGTTATGATGTTGCATTCAAATTTTGTCTGTGTTACATATAAATCTTAGATATAATATCACATACATATTTCCCTCGTGATATTTTTATGTTACTCCAGTACATAAGAATATTCTGTTTTTACATACACTTGGGTTTGGATATAAACAAAAACTTATTAACAGCTCTCTCTCCAAACTCTATTCTTCATCTTACAGTATTTTTGGTTACGCCCCGATTATTTTTTTTATGAATTCAAGAGCATATATTCGAACAGATAATAAAGAGTAATCTTACAATAACTTGCTGACAAGGGAATGATAATGCCAGGTGCTCACGAACTAGGAGACACTTGCTGATGAAGTCAGAGGAACAAGTTTTAACAGCGTGCAGGTACACATTGAAGCTGGCAATGAGCAGGAGTGATAGTTGAACTTCTGCCGCTGCTTGTCAAGTTGAACAAATGTTTTTAGTGTAAAAAAATAAACAATATTCAGTAAAAAGGAAGATCATCTTGTGTACATGAGAGTCGTCTTGGTGGTTGGCGTCTTCAGTCTACTTGAAGAAGTAACACTGCTGGAAGGAGGAGGGGTAGAGGGTGGCGGTGTAGATGGGACTGTGGTTGTAGATGAGGGCAGCGATCTCCTCCTCCTCCGTGGGGAAGGTTTGGTTGTTGAGACGAGCTGAGGCATCAGAAAACTGAATTATTTCTTTGAAAATGGATTCCATAGACCTGCCGGCCTGTTGGGGGCAATGCATATATAATACACTAAGACGCCACACCTCCCCGTCAAGCACTGTAGTGCGGTGGGTTTTGTAACTAAATTTTGTTAAAACTCAGGTTGTCAACCCGACGACCCCTTTCAACGGAAGAGGGTGATTAAAACTCCGGGCGTAAGCCCTTGGTATGCTCAAGGAAACAGTGTGGCCGGCACTGCACTTGATCGTCTTTTCCAACTGTAAAGTTAAGTATCCATTTTATAATTGGGTCGACTGGAAACATCCAAACTCAGTGACCGGCTGCGGGACACGAACCAGAGACCCTGACCGTGGGGTCAGGAGGCGCGTGCCCCTGCCCCATAACTTAAGGAAGCCTTATTTTACACATTGTATAATTATATATAAAATATTTTGATAACGATATCAGCCAAGAAATATCATTTAGTAACACAAAGTGCAATAATTTATATAAAGTGCAGTGAAAACATTCATGTACACCACCTTTCTCGACGAAAAAGTTGGCGATGTACTGTGATGACCTGATGGCGTCTAGGGTGTGTGGGATGGAGTCAAAGCCCCACTCAAAGATATTCTTCTCCGGGTGCCACTGGAAACCGTATATGGGCAGGTGGCGGTGCTCTACTGTGGACACGTACTCCAGGCCATCGTCGTCCTCAGAGGTCGACAACAACAGGAAATTCTTCTCCAAACTGGAGTTCTGGAAAGTCTGTGCAAAACAGAACACAGATAATATGTTTTCAATCTGGTCATATTGAGGACTGACTGTTCTATCTGATTCCATGACGTTTTAATTCTGGTCTAAATAATTGATTATCTTGAGAATGCTATTGCCAACACCTTGATGATAGTTACTGTGCGTCAGGTAAAATAACTTAGCTTTCTTAAATTCTATTCTTGTTAGTTTGAGTTTTGTTAGTGAGGAGATAAGTTGATACACGTGAAAGATGGGGAAGAATTGCGACTTCGCAGGACCACGAGAGAGAGAGAAAACATCACATACCTCAGGCGTGACACACCACTTATGGAAGTTGCTGGTGGCGTTAGTGTTGGCGAGGGTGTCCAGCACGTCCTCAGGCGCCTCCCCCAGAAGCTGCGACGAGTTCCAACCTAAAACAGCGAGATGTTTACTGCCGCTCCTGACACACACGACACTGACCGTCACATGTTTAATGAATACGTGTCTTGGAGCAGAGTTATTAAGTACTGAAGGATATAATGATTAATGACAATGCATCTTTACCATCACTAGTACACTACATCATTAATAGTGATCACCACCACACTTACACCACGACCATCAAACCACTTTCACCACCACCATATAACCATCATCACCACCACCATACAACCATCATCACCTCCATATTATGCCACCATCATCACACTCAACCACAACCATCACCACACTACCTTACATCATCACCAACCTTCCTGCAGGTAGAGAGGGTCAGCCCGGTTCTTGGCGCGGCAGCTGGTCAGTGGGTTGGTGTTGTTGTCACTGAGGTACATGAGCATCTCGAAGCCCAGACAGGTGGCGAAGAGTGGGACTGTCGGCTTACCCAGGTGGGCCGCCTCCAGGAGGATATCGTAGAGCATCCTGCCAGCCCGCCCGTACCCGCTCTCCTGCGTGATGGGGACAGCTCCTCCCGGGAACACCAGCCTGGAGGTGAAGTATTGAGGTATTGTCCAGTCACCATGTCTGTATATTTCAGCATGAAGTGTTGTCAGTACTAAGTCAACAGTCAAATGTTGTCAGTACTAAGTCAACAGTCAAATGTTGTCAGTACTAAGTCAACAGTTAAATGTTGTCAGTACTAAGCCAACAGTCAAATGTTGTCAGTACTAAGTCAACAGTCAAATGTTGTCAGTACTAAGTTAACAGTCAAATGTTGTCAGTACTAAGTCAACAGTCAAATGTTGTCAGTACTAAGTCAACAGTCAAATGTTGTCAGTACTAAGTCAACAGTCAAATGTTGTCAACAACTTCAGCTCAGCAACGAGAACTGTCAACAATAATAGTTTAACACTAACAGTAAATTATGAAAGTTTGGCCACTGGAGACATGTGTCCCTTCTGTTCATTAACTACAATCGCTAACGACCTTAAATGTCTTAATTGTAAACAGAAACTTAATCGAGATACCATGTACAAGGATCCTAATATAGGTTGAAATACCTTAATTTTGTTTGTTGCTGTACAGTGTTACTCATCAAGGTACAACAATTACAAGAAAAGTCTCCTGTAGGACGAGGGTAAACATTGGTAGTGGAGAATGATTAGATCAACACCAACAATCGTCACTCATCACCAGGTACTCACCCATTGATAGACTCCATGATCTCCCTGTAGTAAGTTTCATTTTGGTTGATTCTGTTAAAATAAACAAAATATTGATGAAGGTGAAAAAGTTGAACACGTTAAATGTTGCAGGAACATAAGTGATGCTGTTTTGTATGTCACTTCCCGAGCGGGGTTTCCGGGGAGTAACATTGGCCACATCATGCAGTATCACTCTACATGAGTCACGAGGTCAGTTGCAATTGAGTTTCAACTACATCCTGCCACAGGTGACTCTAGTACAATATTAACCCGTTGAGTTTAACAAGAAACCTTTCAATGATATGCTAACTTGGGCTATTTTATGTAAACAAAGACGTTGATGAAAATTATCATAAAATTCATGGAAAAATCCTACAATCACACGACTCTCCTGCTAAACACTCCTATCTTGTGATCTTATCCGAATGAATCATTGATTTATTTTCTGGTGTTCTTACACAGCTGACACAATGCAGATATATTTTAAAGAATTGGATAAGCCAAATACCACTCCGCCTCGTTACTCACAGGATGGGAACGACCCTGGCACCAGCACTCTCGTAGTACTTGACGTAGGAGGCAGCGATGTAGGAAGTATAGTTTTTGTGGCTCAGGACTCGATTCATGCTGCGACTCGGTTCCTGTGATAGGATACCTGTAACGGGAGGATGAGGAGGAGGGATGACCAGGGATCGACACTTACTTTATGTTTTTCCTCATCCTCTGTTTCACTACATTAATATATTTTTTAACTCAACTTCTACTATAAGATGTTAATGTCTCTTGGTGGGTGAACGAGCGAGGCACTGAGATAGGGAACGGCTTACCGATGATGGGTCGCAGGTTGAGTGGAATTTCAGGCACCTGTTGCTGATCTTCCATCAACGGCGTCACTGCGAAACACAACCCCAGCAGCGTCAGTAACAGGACGCAGGGCTGAAGGGGACCTCCCATCATTATGCTGCACCTGTGAGATAGTTGGATCTGCATCAGGGGTCTTACCCATCAATGTGCAGTACAGTATAACAAAATACCAGCATAAGCAATCAACAGCCACAAGTGTTCCCTCCCACTCCGTAACCACATGCATTAGGATGCTACGTCACCTCCCCCTTCCCCCGGCCTACAATGGCGGGTTTTTATGGAACAAATATTAGATCTAGAACAAACACAACCAAAAGATTATTTTTCTCCTGAACACTTTTGACTGCTGACACTCGCTGAGCAATTCATAATGCCGAAACTAATCTTAATGTAATACACAATCACTTGAGCTTCAGATAATACAACAGAGTTCAGTAACTTCGAGGAAAGTGGTTCATGCAGTCACTTTGTTCTTCACTAGAGCAGAATGATACCAGGGTGTGTGTGTGTGTCTGTGTGTGTGTGTGTGTGTGTGTGTGTGTCTCCTTCTCTAGTACGTATCCATTTTCTCCTCTTTGTTTCTCCCCATACTTATTCCGTCCCTGTCCTCCTCTCCTTCCTGTATCCTTCCCTAACCTTCTAACCCATCCCCTCTCTAGCCTGCTCCCGCCTCTGTTCCCACCCTTTTTCCTGCCTCCCACTCCTATCTTTCCACCCTCCCCGTTCCCTCTCCTCCTACCCCATAGTGTCGACATAAGCTGCACGTGTCTCAGGCTATAGGCCACAAGAGAACGAAGGACAGTACCACAGATGAACGGCCATTAACATATATGGGAATGTCCGCCCATAACACATCCGGCTTTTGTTTTCTTATGCCGGAAGTGAAGTAGACGTGATCCTCCCTCCCTCCTCTCCCCTTCCTTCCCCCAGACGTGACCTCCCTCCCCTCCTCTCCCCCTTCCTTCCCCCAGACGTGACCCTCCCTCCCTCCTCTCCCCTTCCTTCCCCAGACCTCCCTCCCTCCTCTCCCCTTCCTTCCCCAGACGTGACCTCCTCTTCCTTCCCCACACTAAGTATAAAGAGAGAACGTGCTATCAGAGAGACGTAACAGTAATAATTCATTCATATATTTTTTTTTTTTGCTGTTTAGTCTATTGTGGTAGTTTACGTGTTTTTCCTATATAGACAAATAAACTATAATAAATGTTCAGGTATCCCAAGATAAATAATTCCAAGGAAAATGATTTATCTTTACACAGGAGATGACCAAATTCAACTCTAATGGTTAAGGATTATGAATATATCAACAAAAACTGAACAAAATTCTCATGTGGAAATTTTATCATAGTATTTTCTTATACCCAGAGCTGCGATACATTGTCGTGGTGCAGTGTGAGGCGTGATCAGGGTGCCATGGGTAAGAGGGGGGGGGTATAATGAACCAAGAATGGGTATAAAATTCCATCTCATAACCTCAAAAGCAAGGCTTGGAAGTAGATAATAGCCGCTAAACACGTAGGCCTAGGATCTTAGAACATGACATGGCCGATAAAATATGCCTATCGCACGAGATACTCAGCACACACACACTCACTCACACACACACACACACACACACACTCACTCACTCACACACACACACTCACACACACACACACACTCACACACACACACACACACACAGTTTGCCTACTGCCAGGATGTAAAGTAGTGTCATGGCTTTCAATATGGCTCGCTAGAGGTATAGGTAATCACCGGACATAAAAAGAACACCTCTCTTGTCTTTGACTGAACAGTTGCAATAATTTTGGTAAGACTTTCAACACCTTTCATATTCACAGTCAACACGTGTGGCTGCATGTGTCTCGTCTGCTACTTCTTGAGACACTGATGAACTAATCATATTGCTGGTGACGCCGCCGCTCCTACCGTGGAAGAGCGACACCTACGTCTCACATTAAGAGGCGATAGTCACCCAGTGTTACACCGAAAGCGTTATTACAATATGTAAGTTGTCACCCACCTATTATCACACGGGAGAAGTTGTCAGTACTGTCGGCTCTGTCGGAGGACGGGGAGTGACTGCCGTTCCTGCCAGTCAGACCAGATATATGGCTCTGTTGTCTGTGAGGTGAGGAGAGAGACAATGGTGACGGGCTGTGGTGCGGGGAGGTGGAGTTAGGACCTTGGTGATCGTCATGGCCATATAATTCCAGGTAACCCCCCCCCCCCCATCACCAGCTGGTGCGGTTGCAACTTACTTAACTGTAGCAGAAGTTTTGTCCTTGTTTATATCCTCCCTTGTGTGTTAAAGTCAATATCGTATTGAGGAGTTATATTTAAAAACAAATTTTGTATTCTTGGATAGGCAAACATGTTAAGGATTTTTCCTAGACACTATATAATAAATCAGTCTTTACACCTGAATATTGCAAAATGTTTCCACTCTATGTCACACAAGTGGCACATATTGTGAATAATTTCAGGTGAAAAGTGGGTGTAGGTACAAAACTTGTCGTCGCAATCAACACGACAAATAACATCCACACGCTGATCACACACCGCTGGTCTTCTCCGTCCCACATCCATAATGAAGATGAGTTTGACTTTTCCGTGACCTTGGCCATATTATATTCGTTCACAAAACTACACGAATCACGCATAGAATGTCTTAAGTTCTTAGGTAAAACGTTTGTATTTAAGAGCGTTCAGCGTAACGGAACATCAATCTGTCCTACGAAAATGACAGAAAAATTTACCGAGTGAGTTCCTTAAGTAATCTTTAGACAACACTGAATTCCCGGATGTGAAGGTAAACGTTCTCCACACAAAGAACGTGTTAGCTTAAGATAAACGTGATACCATTACCGGGTTAAAGTTCAGTACAGTTACAGCTGATGATGGTAAATGCCTCCATTGATCTTCTAGGGAATGTCTCATCTGGATTTAATAAAATTATCTATTATATACAAAAGTCATCCATGTCCTGTACATATCTCCTCGCTTCTGTTCGTTTATTTACATAATTTTTGCTTAGGTTAACACTAAAGAACGCGTGTTTGAATATTAATGTAAAATAAAAAAAACAAAGGAATACTTACGAATAACTTTTATGTCAGTCGTAAACTTCTTGGTAATTTGTATATGAAGACTTGGGCAGAGGAGCGGTCTGGTAGTACACAGCGGCTGACCGGACATTCCTGATACAAGGAGCCTCCCTGAGCCTCCCTCCCACTCCGCATGATAACAATCACTGGTCAGCTTGTCTCCTTGTCATCCACTATTTTGTGTATTAATACTCTCGCGAAGATAAGTCATGTCACTGTAAAAAGGAGAAGTCATGTCACTGTAACAAGGGTAAGTTGTCACTGTAACAATGGTAAATTATGTCACTGTAACAAGGAGAAGTCATGTCACTGTAACAAGGGTAAGTTATGTCACTGTAACAAGGGTAAGTCATGTCACTGTCACAAGGGAACCCGATAAGTCATGTCACTGTCACAAACATAACTTATGTCACTGTCACAAACATAACTCATGTCACTACCACAAAGGAAGCAACAAATCTCATGTCGCCATTAAAGAAAAAAAAATCTTTTTAAACTTACCAATAACCTGCTCGACCAAGATAACATATACTGACACCTTTCATAAAACTAAACTTAAACACAAGCATCACCTGAATTGACTAAACTGAATAAAAACGGACCAAATTATCCATAAACAAAGAAAACTGAATCTACGAGCACTAAGTTTCACCTCTTTGAATGTATACTCGAAATAAACGTGACCTGATCTAACCTAACCTAACCTAACCTAACCTAAACTCACCTAACTTAACCTTACTCTTGTTGATCTCTGTAAACCTAATGAATTGAGCTTCAGTCAGGACAAGTTACGGTAGCTCAAGATGTTGTTAATGACTGTTATTCTTTTCAATAATCGACTCATAATTCGACTAATATCAGAGCTTTTGAGAATTGACGGCCCCTTAATGTAACCACTAAAGACATGAACTTGGTAAAAATAAAACATGCAATATTCGGTAAGGTTAAAATGGATAGTATCTTTCTCACATACGATCGACTCCAACAAGTTACACTAAAGGAAAGTAACATTCTTGGTTCAATAGAATTAGTGTATACCATTGTTAATATGCACACTGCATGTACATGATAAGCCAATACAAACTCTATTGTTGATTTTGCAGAATAAATATATTTCATATAGCTATTTTAAAAGAAAAAAAAAATGGATATAAATTTTAGTTTGGCCTTCAGTAAGAAACGCTTTCTGTAGATGCAAACCAGCTTAAAATCGTTTTCTGTAGAGGGTAAACTATAATAGACTCGAAGTAGTTACTAGATTAATGGTTTTATTAAGGATAACAACAAGTCCTTCTGTTTTTTTGCAAGATGAGGAATGGTAATATTATCTTAAACAGTCATAAAATCACGAGTACCCTTATTGACAATCGGCACGACTAGGATTTTTCCGAAGCATCAGACACTATTATAATATATAATTTATCTCTCATAAAATGAACTAAACTAAACTAACCTAAACACAAGATATCGTTTTCAAGCTGATCTATACAATACTTAAATCTGTGCCCTGACGTAGGGGTACTGTACTCACGTGTAGGATGGCGCCTCGCTCTTTTGTGTATCACTATTCAATCTTTATCCTACAGCAGTACAATATAAGGCTATTAAACCTATTAATAACTAGATACTTATTAGTTTATCTTTCCTTCCCTTGATGTGTGATAATCTGTTATTCACGTTTTGGATTTTATTCATATATATGGTCAGGTTTTTTATTTCCATGGCGAGTGTGCTTATTGTATGGCCAGTGTGCTTATTGCAATGGTCAGTGTGATTATTGCCATGCCCAGTTTGAGAATAAAATCCATTCCATCATTCTTTCATCATTCTCAGGTACAAAACACAACATTCCTTTACCAGCCATTCTTACACTCTGAGATTACCATTTACTTGAGTTTTATCACCATTCAACTCCTTTCGTTCCCTTTGCTCCTCTTTTAAGCAATTTCTTCCTTTCCCTTTTACGTCTTTTAGAGCCACATAAAACCACGAAATGTTGGACATAAACTTAACTCCAACTAATTGTCATGGAAGCGACTAAGGGGTTAGTGTGTGTGTGTGTGTGTGTGTGTGTGTGTGTGTGTGTGTGTGTGTGTGTGTGTGTGTGCAAGCTTCAGACAGACAGACAGACAGATAGACAGACAGACAGACAACAATGCTAGACGTAATTTTCTGAATATAAGTCTGTAACTAAAGTCGAAACTATACTTATTAACCCAAAATATCAAGACTTTTTTTTTATTACGTCGTGCAAATTAAAAGTAATTTATGTTCTGCTAAACTACGTCAAGTTACGAATGGGTGAAATTACGTTACATTAAGTGAATTAAGGTGAGGTAAGTCGGTGGTAGTTTTAGGTAAATCAGGTTAATAAAGGTAGGTTTGTTGATATACAGTAGGTGCCAGGAATGTGCAGAGGTATGGTTGGATTAGTTCAGGTTGGGTTAGTTTAGTTTGGGGTTAATTTGGCAGATGCTAGTTCAGTCTAGTTCTGGTCACTATATGGCAGGTTAGGTTAGGTTACATAATGTTAAAATAAAGCAGATCTAATTCAGGAGAGAGGTACAGCCAGCACAACGGAGGCCATTCTTTAATAATAAAACCCTCGAACCCCTCTCTACGCTGTCCTCCAAATGAGAGACCAAGAACATATATAACGTGTACAACATCAAACGACGTCAGCCCCACACAGCACAAGGCCGGCCGTCTCCTTCACATCCACTACGATTCGCAAATCCTTCAGCTCGACTACCAAACCCTTCAAGAGAAAGAGAGAGAGAGAGAGAAAAAAAAATAAGAGAGGAGTTTTTACGCGTTTTGATTGTCGATTTTCTGGGTGGGAGGACACTCTACGGTATTCTTTTGACAAGTGAAGGAAAGACAATATTTCCCCCGGTCTGAGAGCTGCAGGGTGTGGGGGGCGGCACAGCGTCTCTACCACGGTTCTTTACAGATTAATTTTATCAGTATTCTTAAAGGTTCGTAAGATTATTTTCCTTCGAATTCTTGAAAGTTCATATTTTGCATTGTGATCATTTGAAAGTGTTCGGAGATACTTTAAGTTACTTATGTGTTCAGAGTAAACAATTTATCTATGGTATAAATTTCAAAGAATCCTAGGTCTAAATTCTTCAAGATTCTTATGTTCAAAAATTTCTCGCAACTGATTATATAAAAACAAATATTACCGGTTACCTTCAGCTAAAACACAAATATTAAGTGAATAAATGGCACTAAAATTACACCAAGAGACTACCTTTACCAAGACAAATTTAAAATCAGCATCTCTTAAGTTAATTCACTCTTCTAAATGGTTATAAGCGAATGTATTATATTAAGGTCGAGTCTCAGCGTAATTCTGATGCCATATTACGCACTTAACTATTGTGTCTTAGCTCAAGTCAACCACTCAGGTGCATTGTTTACATCTTACGAGAGAGAAAAATCAACACAGGATCTGAAAGCTTGAGTAGCAGGTAGTGCTTTGTTTCTCGTGTGACGCCCAAAGCCTTCATTTTTAAGAGTCCACCTCCGTACAATACTGTAGATGGCGCTGAACACAAAGGCGGACACGACGATGACAAGGGTGATGCGGAGATGGTGGAAGAAATGAGGAATAAGAGGTGAGGAAGAGGGACTGGTAGAGGGATGGAGGGGAGTGAGATGTGTGAGAGTGGGGGGTAGAAGAGGGAGAAAGTGGGAGATAGAGGTCAGGGTATAGGGTGGAGGAAGAGATGAGTGGAAAGAAAGGAGGGGGGACAAATGAGATACTACAAAGGAAAGTGAGGAAACGTAAAGGGAAAAGGAGGATAGACGAAAAGAAGGAAGGGTAAACGGAGGGAAAGAAGAGAGATGAGAAAGAATAACGATGGAGAGAGAGAAAAGAATGAGACGTGAAGGGGAGAGGAAGTAACAAAAGGGAATAAGAAAGACAAAAAAAAATCATCAAGGTTTTAAAGGATAAAAAAAAAATTAGGTAGAATATTTCATTTCCTTCATAACCTCAAAACAGAACCTGGGAACACGATAAAACTGCATCCTGGCTCAAACAACAGATTACTGGAAA